CAATTGTTCTAAACTGTGAACAAATTGTGTGGACTTGACTAGTCCACACCCATAGTGTCATTTTGTAGGCATGGTGTGGACCAATCCACACCACACTTTTTGATTCTATGTATCTCATATACATTTATGAATGATCTACACCAATATTTTAAAAATGACCCAAAAAATGGAACCGTTCTGTCCACCAGTTCCGAGTCAACGGTCCGACCGTCCAATTTGAACGAATGGCCCGTTTTGGCAAACAAATTAAAAAATAAAAAAATAATTAAAAATAAAAAATGATAAAAAGCCGTTGAACGGGTCGATGGTTTGATCGCTCGGGTCAACGAGTTGTTGACTTTTTCAATGGTTTTTGGCCAAAAACTAGGTTTGGAGTAAAATGAAACCACTTGCATGAACGGTTCCTGGGCTGAATGGCCTGACCTTCTAGGTCAACAATAGTTCAAAAACCTTGATCTACACAATTAATCATAAATATCTATTTTTTTGCATTATATATGATAAATATATTGAAAATGTATCAATGAATTAATATTAACTAATAAATAATAATTTTTTTTATAAAAACAATAGTAAAATAATTAAAATTTTAAAAAATATATTTAAAATATAATTTTATTGATAAAACATTAAAATTTTAAGAAATTAAAAAATTAAGTAAAATAAATAATATTTTATTGACAAACATATTAAAATGTGAAACAGACAATAGGTAGCCTTTCAAGGAAAGTGTGAAGTAGGGGATCAAAAATCAAGTGTGGATAGTCCCTAACCATGAGATTTTACTATAGATGAGAAATTGGGCTGTGGACAGGATCTGTCCACGCTATATTGGGATGTGGACAGGACGGGTCCCGTCCACACCTAGCCGAACGCGACCAAATTCCGTTGTCCACGAGATTTATGCAGTTTTGAACATTGCCTTAAATGTAAAAAAGTTGTTATTTCCAATAAGATCTATTTAGACCTGAGAGATCAGGATTTCAATCCTCCAAAGGCCACCTTAGCAAGTTATACATCTAATGAAACCACATTTGTGACAATATATCATCCTCTTGTATATACTGCATTTTACTTGTAACACCATACATATACATATATGTGCATCCATCCACAGGTTGAGCCATGTTGGGTTGGGTTGGATCAAACATTGGCAACTCAAGCTCAACCCTTTCAAAATTTTGTGTTGGAAATAGGGGTGTTTGTGATCCAGTTTGGTGCGGTTTAGAGAATATCTCAGACCAAACCAGTAAATTACGGTTTGAGAAATTCTTACTTTATCAAACCAAACCAAACCATTTTGGCATAGAAACCAAAACCAAACAATTTTATTACAATTTGGTGCAGTTTCTAATACGGTTTAGGGACTTTGTACCCTTCTATGATTTACTTGGACCAATGGACTAGTATGGAAAAAATTAATTAACTAAACATGAATAACATAGATGTAAATGTCAATAGGAGAATAACATATGTAAGCCATTATAGACTTCATTAATTAATAAATCATATATCTTTTCTTCATATTTAATTTGACCCAAACAAGTATGTAAATATGCTAATAATGGAATATATTAATAAGTATGACCCAAACAAGTATGAAATTAGGAACATTTGAACAAAGAACAATGAAATATATTTTATATACATATGCTAATAAATTTGCAATAAAAATAAATCAGTTTATTGTTGACAATTTAAATATATACAATGTAACAAAACCAAAAATCTTAAGAATAATGTAAAATAATCAATTAAATAGATGCAGTAAAAAATAAAATATGAATAAAAACATTCTCATCCAAAACACATAATTAAGCATTCTACTCCTAAACATGCATATATAAACATATAATAAAAAATAAATAAATCATAATTTTTTCCAAAATTGTAAAAATGGTTGATATTTTACCCGTCTCCCAAGTCCAAATTCAAGTTCTTGTTCTTGTACTTCCAATTCTAGAGTTCTAGTTCCTCATGTCCACAGTTGAACATAGATTAGAGTAAGGGTGGATTCGAGCCGAGCCGAGCCGAGTAGTACCAGGCTTGAGCTCCACTCGAGACTATTCTACAAGGCTCGAGCTCGGCTCGAGCTAAAACCTTGAGCTCAAGCTCGACTCGGCTCGTTTTATATTTTATAAAAATATTTTATTATATATTTTATAAATATTTTATTATAAAAATAAAAATTATATATAAAAATTTTTATCTTATATTTAAAAAATTAAGAATTATAATATTTTTATTATTATATATATATATATTCGAGCCAGCTCGCGAGCTTCATGAGCCGAGCCCTAATATGCTTGAGCTCGGATTATTAAATAAAAGAGCCACTAAAATGGGCTTGAGTTTGAGCTCGACTGAAACTGAGCCAAACCGAGCCGAGCTCAAGCAGCTTGTGAAAAACTCGGCCCGTTGCCACCCCTAGATTAGAGACCTAGATAAAGGGGTTAGGGATTTTCTTTTTCAACAAATAGAAGAGAAGAGATGGAAAGATGAGAAAATTGTAACAGTCAGCGGTGAGTTGGCGAAAATGGTGGCAACTAGGGCGGATATGGTTCAATTGAACAGAGGAAGAGGTTTTCCTACGATAGGGCTTTTTGTAAGGGTTGGAAGAGAGATGAAAAGATGTGTGTGAGAGAGAGCGGTTAAGGAGTGACTGGCGATCGGCGATAACAAATCGGAGATGGTAGTGGTGGTCGGTGGAGTGACATCGACGAGATGGCGATGTATATAAAGGGTTGTCTTCTCTTCGGTGTTCTTTGAGAAAGAAATGAGAAAGAAAGTGGCTACAGGTAGGGCATCTAAGAGAAGAGAGAGAAAGTTAAAATTAAAAGCATAAGTCTTTAATCTTTAATCTTTTTCAAATATTTATATATTTATTTATCTTTTATTTATATATTTATAACTTAAATTCTAGAATATTTGACATATATAATTATATATTATATTAATACGGTTTACGGTTTGGTTTGATTTATAAAATTTAATAAACCAAACTAAAACTGTAAACTATATTTTTCAAAATTATGAAACTGAACCAAACCACAATTTTAGTTCAGTTTGGTTTTATAGTTTAAACCGAACAATGAATACCCCTAATTGGAACAAGGTCATCTCTTGGATGGGTTGGGTAGGGTGTGTGTGACAACATAGTTGGTTTTGTTTTTGAAAACAAAAACAGCCGGCATGTAGCAAAAAATACATCATACCTAAATTTCCAAGCTTTGGCATAGGTTGTTGATAAAGGCGGATTTATCCCTCCAGTGACATCATGACACATGGCATCTCGAAACAATTGGATGACACCCAGGCACCACCTAGGCGATGACTTGCCCTAACCGAAGTGATGGAATTCCAGATCGTGATTCATCTTCGCCATCGACTTAGTGACCTATCTCTGCTGCCGACCTGGCGACTTGCCTCCTCCACCGACCTAGCAACCTCAACCATAACTTAGGGCGGCTAGCAGCACCTCGCCTAGGGCCGACCTGTAGCACCTCGTCACCTGCCAAAGTGACCTCGATATGAGGAGCAACCTCCCTAGAGGGCTTGTCGACCTAATTGAGGTCTAGGTGGCGACCTGCGAGACATGCTCGCCAACCAATTTTGCATGCATGACAAATCACTCCCGGTTTTCTTGGAAGTTGGCCCCCGTGCCGAATGTTCTGGAGGAAACCGAACAAGGTGTGAAGATTGGTCTACATGCACAGCTACCTTCGAGGACTTCGGACTGTTTAGACACGACCTCCTGGAGATCTTGGACACAATGCGTGAAATCCACACCAAACAACGCCTATATATAGGCCTCACCTCCAACTTCAGAAAGGTACGTGCAATTTGTGCTTACCAACTCTCTTGCATTCGAGTATTAGCTTGCTCTACCTCCGAGGACTTCAGACTGTTTAGGCACGACCTCCTGGAGATCTTGGACACGATGCGTGAAACCCACACTAAACAACGTCTATATATAGGCCTCACCTCCAACTTCAAAAAGGTACATGCAATTTGTGCTTACCAACTCTCTTGCATTCGAGTATTAGCTTGCTCACAGAACCAACCACTAACTTAAGCATCGGAGTGACCACACCGGATTAACCACTCCGGGTTCTCTATGTTTTCTCTTCTTGTAACTCGACTCGCCAACCAAACAATTGACATCCGAGCTGCCATCCAGATAGGAGCTCCAGATCGTACACCATCAATTGTGTTTAGGGCTTCTATTGAAGCAAGTTCATCTCTTGGATGAATTGCGTAGGGGGTATTCCAAAATGTAGTTGGTTTTGTTTTTGAAAACAAAAACAATTGCTATATCAACACAAATGCACCAATAACCATACCTAATTTGCAAGCTTTGGCATAGGTTGTGTTCAGGGCCCAAGCTAGGGCTCACATCAGGCTTGAAACTTATATATACTATACTTTTTTTGGTAAAAATATATACTATACTATGATGCATATAATATATTAAAATATTTGTATTAAAAGTCATAGGCATGGAAGCCCGGAGTGGCCTGATCTAGGCTTAGTCCATGATCACGCTTAGGCCAGGTAAGTGTGAAACTTGGGTAGGCCCAATCCAATCTTAGCCCGAAATTTTATATAAGCTGGGCTTGGATTTTAGGGCTTGGGTTGAATTGGGGCCGAAAACTTTGGGTTTTTTATCTAGATAAATCAAACCCAATCCTTCCTTATCCTAACCCAAGCCTAACCAACCAACTATATATATATATTTTATAAATTGTACGTATGTACACACACTTTTATATTAAATTTTAACGTGAACTTATTGACCACCTCGAGCCCAACTCGCCAACCGAGTATATCAAATTTTAGTTCAGATCGGGCCGGGTTGAATAATTCAAACTTGTTGGGCCTAATTGAAACCCGGCCCAACCCTCCCTCCCACAGATCCGGAGTCGGACCGGGGAACATGGATAATGTTTTCCTATGACAATAGGACCTACGTCATAGTCTTTTGTTTATTTCCTTTTTTCTATTTCTTTTCTTCGTAGTAAACGGAATTGTCCAAACTACAGAGTCCAAACCAGATCATTGCAAAAGCCTCCGAATCTGGTCACGATCACGAAGCCTTTCATTTCGGGGAGGGAAGGAAGGTGGGCGAGCGATCGGGCGGGCAGGTGAGAGAGAAAGAGATGGAGAACTGCATACCAGAAGGAGAGAATCTAGAGCTTTTGCCCTCTGCTATCCTCGCAACCATAATGGCGAAGCTCGATGTTGCATCGATCTGCTCCGTTGCAGCCACATGTAAGACCTTCAACGGCTGCGCTTCTCAAGTCCTCTCATTCCTCCCTTGTTTCCATCTGCTCGTAAGTAATCTAATCCTTCATGGAAAGGCTTCGATATCTGCAAATTGTTTGTTCCAGAGCTTAATAAGAAACTACCCTAGATTTATTTGTTCGTTCATTTATTTCTTAAATACGGATCTCTATTTCAGGATATAGCTCCATCGATCGATTTGTTGAGGCCTTTGTTGCCGCCGAATCCTTACCTTCGCAGCCTCAAAGTTGATTGTAGCCAACTCAGTGATTCCTCTATCGAGCATCTGGTCCGGCCTTATCTGAATGAACTTTGCCTTCATAATTGCCAGGATTTTAGCGGAAAGCTGCTCTCGGAGGTTGGAGGTCGATGCAAAGACCTAAGGTGTACTCTTTCACTCGATCCCCCATTGAATTCTTTCTACTTATTTAATTATTTTCATAATTGAGCGGCGTAATCTCGGATATTCAATGCGTGTATCTTCTAACAATGCTTGAGTGCTTAGGGCTTTTTTTTTTCGCTACCTCGAACTGTAAAAGATCAAAAGTGATGCAACTATGCATCATTGAATACATAAGTTCACTCAATACGCTTTGTGTTTTGTTTCCTAGTTTCCTTTTACTTCCGTTATTTCCTTGTCCGTGTGCTGTGTGTATTGTGGGGGGGGGGGGGTGATGGAATGAAATTGAAGAATGACAGGCTTATTCTGGATGATTCCGTGATTATATTTTGTACTCCTTAAATGAGGGATTGTATTTTTATCTAATATCCAAAAAAAAAAGAGTGATCGTGTGGGACAAGGGGCAAATAAGGACCGAAGCAGAACTTCTCTAGAGCTATTCGATTAATGGCCTCAATAAAGCTGAAGCAAGGTTTCCCCTGGATGGTCTGTTTGATTAATTAATTTTTTTCTATGTTCTTATAACCGTGGAAATTATCTTTGTCAACGTTCTTACTTAGATAGCCGTCCTGTAGTTTGCTGGAAAAGTGTATATATTATTAAAGCTTCTGTTAGTGTCCTCAATTTTCGCTTTCCTCTTAGAGTTAAACTTAACGTCTCTATCATATTCAGCATCCATTGGAGGGCAAAATCTTCTGCCATAGGATGGACTCTTTAGATTGGCCTTCCTCTATGTGGGCCCCCCCTCTCTCTCTCTCTATCTATCTCTCTCTCTCTCTCTCTCTCTCTCTCTCTCTCTCTATCTATCTATCTATCTATCTATCTATCTATGTATCTATATTTATATATATATATATATATATATATATATATATATATATATATATATATATATATATATATATATATATATATATATATATATATATATATATATATTCACCTTTAAACATTTATATTCTTAATGAAATTCATCTTTTTGGAATGCAAATCCTAGTTTTTATATGGATAAATGATCTGCTTTGTCAAGTTATTTGTAAACGTGTAGACAGGAAATCATATACTATCTAACCTGACACTTTTCTTTCAGTTCATTGTATTATTTAAAAAAAAAGTAGAAATAAATATTCTTATTATTACTGTATTTAGTATTTCTCTCATATTTACAGCAATGTTGTTGTTCATTTCCATTTCTCTCCAGGACTCTCTACTTGGGTTCAGTAGCTGAAAAAAGGGGACGAGCAATCCACATTTCTGATCTAGAGGAGTTACTTGGTGGTTGTACTCAATTAGAAGTAAGATGAAACTCTGAATTTAGTATAGACAGAGGAGTCACATCCCACTGCTACTTTTATTGTTTGTCTGATAAGGTTGCAGAGACCTGATTCATATAAAATCCATATTAACAAACAACACATTGATGTAAAGGGTGCTTATGTAAACTTGTCACAGCATCTTTCTATGGTGGAAAGAGGTGCATACTGTTTTCTTTTAATACAATACCTTACCTTTTTTCAAAAAAAAAAAATCCCAATTTCCAGTTAACTAACTTCCGAAACACCTTGGGCATTTATGTGGCATACCATTGACAGGAAACTTGATAGTGCTGACAAAAATGCCTCCTGAAACATCACATTTTCTTTTTTTCTTTGGGTTAAAATCTCCCCCTACTTTGGGTTTTATGAAATCGTCAACAAAAAACTTATTATTGAGGAAATATGGAGAAACACTAGATGGTAGGAAGAATTTATATGTATTTATCAAACACAGGAGTTAGTCCAGAAAGAAAGATAATAAATTGGAACTATAAGGGTTACAGAAAAAAAGCATATTTTCTTTTCTCTTGTGGTAAAGGCTCCCCCTACTTTGGGTTTTATCAAATTGTCTGTAGGAAGCTTATTATAGAGGAAATATGGACAAATACTAGATGGTACGAAGAAATATATGTATTTATCAAACACAAGAGTTAGTCCAGAAAGAAAGATAATAAATTGGAACTATGAAGGTTATATTGCACAAAACTCATTACCCTTAAATTTGATATTTTGCATTTTTAAAACCCCAACTCTAATCATTAGTTCTTTGCTTAAGTTCTCAGTTTTCTTTCTAGTCATTTTTCTGTTGTTCAAGCAGTCTGCATTTGACTGTTTAAAATTTTAAAAATCCATTTAATCTCATAAAATTTTAACTCTTCTGTGCTCTAGAGTCAGCAAATAGGCAACTTGCAATTTGGTTAGAGAGAGATGAATAGATTAGAGTAGAGTAGAGAGGAAAATAAATGTACCAGCATGGTCATCTGTATGTGAAGCCAAGGCAAGTACTGGCATTATATAGTAAGGATGAATAGGTAGGTCAGATATAAATAAATAGTTCAAAATTTCAAATATATTTAACAAGCCCATTTCTTGGTACAATGGTCTTGGGATGGCGAGCTAGAGAATGTGGGTTCAAGTTTGAGAGCTGCCATGTTGTGCAAAAAAGTGCCAAAGGCTAGGTCCATATCCAGTCCATGATCCCTCGCAACCCAAGACCCCAGATATCTGGGGCTTATCTCTTCGGAGACATCCATAAATTGGTATTATACAGAGATAGTTGGGACCTATATTGGGTAATGGCACTTTTAATTCAAATATAACTTTAAGATGTTTGCATTTTCAATTAATTACTAAATTATATACTGCAAGCGCCTAAGTGGGTGGAATTGGCACTCATGGTCAAACTCCGAAGATCTGAGGAAGGCAGCAAACCAGGAGGGGGAGAGGAACGGAAGTAAAGGGATCGGCCAAACCCCCAGAGGGGATGCCTACATACCCTCCGGTAAGGGGTTAGGCCATTGTAGTTCACCAGTTTTGGAGTTCCAGCAGTGAAGGGTCAAAGGTGGTGGAAGAGAGTCTCCAGTTTCACTTGAGTTCATATAAATCTATTGTACTTGTATAAATGTACTGTCTTAGGAAACATGTAGCAGCTAATTCAAAGGTTGGGAGAAATTGTAAATTGGGTAATAGAGCTGCAAAAGGACTAGCAAATGGCTGACAAGGCAAGGGATGGGCAGAGAGTAAATGTGTTGGAGTTTGGTTTATCAAAGGGAGTTATAATTGCAATTTTCATATATTGGGTGGTTAGCCAAGTTTAACCACATTCTGCACCTCTATGTACCAATTTTTATTTTTATTCAGTAATAAAATTTTCTGTTATCAATAAAAGAACTAGGAAACATGTAATCAGTGCATGTTCCCACCAACCACTCATCTCATAAAGTTGATGTAGAATATTGTCATGTGGTACCCATACAATGATACAACGCCCCAGATTAACTGTGTGCAATGCATGTTTAGTAGCAACGTGCATTAATTACATGTTGCGTTATTATTGACCTTAAATGCTAAGTTACTACTGCTGATAGAGATAACAAACATAATGAGAAAACTGCAATTTAATAATATGATAAATTAGGAAATCTCTTTTAAACATCTACACATATATGTGCAGATTATTTCTTTGGCTATTGGAGCATGCATTACTTCTAGGACTGTGCTTTTGTCCAATAAATTATGTTTGTGCAAATTTTCCGGTGTCAGGTATATCCAAGTGTGTTTCACTGTTTGGTCATCACTGATGAAAACTCACTATCCTAACTATTTTTTCTTTTCTTTTCCTATTTTTGGTTTCATAATCAATCCAAATTGATGCTTATTTTACAATTTCCTAAAGCTTCTTCCCACAAATTAAGCATTGTGATGGTATGTGCATAGCTTCAATGCATTTTTCTATGCTAAAATGTTCTCTCATAAACCTTCATATATTAGTTAGCTGTTTACTGTGTTGTGGCTTTGTAAGTTGCAAACTTTCATAAATATACTTTTTAATATCACAATACTCATTTTGGAATTACCAGTCATTGTTACCCTCAAAGGAGAGGGTTCAAGTTGTGATGAGAGGGAATTAACTCATGTTCTATTTGAAGAGATTTTGTCTTTACTGGTAATTGTCAGAGTATTTTCTGAACACTCTCATTGTATTCCGTTTGTATTATTTTTTTCCTTTTAAATGACGATATATTAACGGGTATGGTAATGAACTTCAGCTTCAGCCATTAAGGAGCTCACATCCTCCTTAATAATTTATGCACTGAAGGACAAAGCAATAAGTTATTCAGTTAAATTTTACCAATCAAAATAAGGTTATTCAGGTCAGCTGCTCCAGCTGTTATCAAACGGTCCCTAAGAAATAGATGGGTTGGACGTTTATTTTTTAGCAATAATGAAGTGAAACTATATTAAGCATGAGGGAAAATCCACTTTAATATTTTGTCTTAACACTCTAGTTACTGAGGCAGGAACCATGGTTCTGAGCCAGGTAAAGCAGTTACCTAGGTGAAACTGATGATTACACTATAAATAAGTATTTGTATATCTATTCTCTTTCTTGTGTTGTTCAAAGCTTTCTATGTTGTGTTGGCAACAACTGTAAAAACTAGCCCTGTGTATATTATTATTTTTTCGAGGTTGATGCATTTTTCTTGTGTTAATAATCGTTTCTGGGTCTTCTTAAAGAATTTATTTGTTACCAGTCTACCCGTCCCAAGACCCAGATAGCTAGGAAGTAATGGCCTTGTTTATTTTTTCCTAATTTTGCAAATAGTATTTGTGTTGTATTACTTGAAACAATCATGCATATTTGTTGTAAACTCCATAATTAGAACACTTTAATCTTAATTCTGACATACAAATATGCACATGTTTGACTGTAAAGTGTTAACTAATACCAGCCTTCGTTATTTTCTAGTCACTGAGCCTGATGTTCGATGTTTCAATATTTCTACGTCATAATTTTGGTCGAGTCTGGGCAATGGCTTCAGAAAAACTTTCTGCACTTGAGATTGGTTATATTTCTTCAGTAATGGTAACTGAACTGCTTAGCCCAACTGTGGGATCTTATCCGTGTCCCAATTATGTGCAATCACCTATTTTACCACATATTCAGAAGTTATGTCTTTCTGTAGACTATATCACTGACACTTTAGTTGGCACGATATCAAAAGGTCTTGTATTATTGACCCATTTGGATCTTCGTGATGCACCCATGATAGAACCAACAGTGACATTTGACCTCACCAACCCAGGCCTTCAACAGATCAATCAGCATGGGAAATTGAAGCACCTGTGCTTAATTCGAAGCCAGGAATTCATTTCCACATACTTCAGGCGAGTTAATGATCTCGGTGTCCTCTTAATGGCAGACAAGTGCTCGAACATCGAAAGTATCCATCTTGGAGGTTTCTGCCGTGTTACAGATGCAGGATTCAGGGCAATCTTGCATTCATGTTCAAGCTTACACAACTTTAGGGTGTTTCATGGGACCCAACTTACTGATCTGGTGTTTCATGACATTACTGCCACTTCCCTTTCTTTGACAAGTGTAAGCTTAAGATGGTGCAACCTCATAACCAACCTAGCAGTTGTACGCTTGGTATCCAACATGGATCTCAGCTATCTGGACTTGAGAGTTTGTCGAAATCTTGGGGATGAAGCATTGCAAGCCGTCAGCACTCTACCTAAGTTGAAGACCTTGCTCTTGGATGGCTCTGATATCACTGATGTTGGTTTATCATACTTGAGACATGGGGTAATGAAATCACTAGTCTCATTATCTATTAGAGGCTGCAAAAGACTGACAGATAAGTGCATTTCGGCTATATTTTATGGTTCTTCTGGGCAGGAGTTGCAAGATTTGGACCTTTCTAACATTTCTAATCTCTCAGACAATGCAATTCTGCTACTAGCTAAGAGTAGGGTTATGCTTACTGAACTCCGGTTGCGGGAGTGCCCATTGATTGGTGACACTTCTATCATGGCATTAGCTTCAATGCAAATTGGTGATGGTGGGTGGCATGGGAGCATCTTGCGTTTGCTGGATCTTTATGACTGCAGAGGCATTACACAGCTTGCAATCCGATGGTTGAAGAAGCCTTACTTTCCAAGGTTAAGATGGTTGGGACTGACAGGAAGCGTGAACAGGGACATGGTTGATGCTTTATCTAGGAGTCGGCCATTTTTGCACATGGCATGTCGTGGTGAGGAGCTGGGAAGCGACCATTGGGATAGTTCAGATGGTTTGTATGGCCATGACGAAGAAGAAGTAGATGAACTTGAACAGTGGTTGCTGGAAGTGGAGGAGAGTGGTGGAGAAGAGAGAGAGGATGATGAAAATGATAATGAGATGGAAGGGTAATTTGTAAGATAAGATATTTCTGTATTTCTATCCCTGGGATCTGTATTTGTATCAGTGTATGGTGGAGCTACTGATTGTAACATTATGGTTCGTTATTTTCAACTTCGATGATAACCTGTTTTATTGACAGAAAGAGACCATGCCAATGTAGAAGTCAGGGGGAATGTTGTTGACCAAACGTAGAATGCCTCCTGATTAACGTAGTTTGTAAGATAGGATATTGCTGTATTTCTTTCTCTTCTATTTGTATTTGTATCGGTGTATGATGGAGCTACTGATTGTAGTATTTCATTATTGTTAAGTTATGACTTCGAATAACCGGTTTTCTTGACTAAACAAAACCATGCCAATGTATAACCGATTTCCCACAGTCGTTTAGCATGCATCGAAGCATCATAGGAAATCATTTTTCTGAAAAAGATTCGTTTTCCTTCATTTTTATATGCAACCAAACAAGTCATTTCAGGAAGTAGTTACAACCATACAATGAATTCATGAGTAGCATTTGTACGAGTGTAGATGCCAGATTGCCAATTAGAAAGCCAGTTCCAGTATCCTTTATAAGATTCTATGATCTATGATCTATTTTAGAAGCACGTTGGAGTTCATTGAATCTTCTTATGTTTATAGGAGTGGTGACCTCGTGAACAAAATTCTTCAGACCTCAAAATAAAAAAGGATTATTTACAAAAAAAAAAAAAATGTTGGGTTGTGATGTGCATGTGCTAACTCGATTTCATTGCATTGCACACTACATTTTGGCCATGGATGGGGATCACTATGGGATCCTCTTGCTGATGATATTCTCCTTTTTGGTCGTAGTGATACTTGTAAAACTCTTCAGTTATAGTCTATTCTCACACGATTTGGCTTATGGTTGGGGCAGATGGTTAATTTTGAAAAGTCTTTCATACTATTCAGTAACAATACTTTGATGAGAGACAGATTCCATATCCTACGTTTATTAATTGTACATTTGATGTCATCACATGAAAAATACCTTGGCTGCTATCGTCAAGAATCCAGTGACTTATTGATGGATAAAATTTAAAATCGACTCTCGAGTTGGAAAGGTAGATACCTCTCTCATGCAAGAAGAATAGTCATGCTAAAGAGCACAGTTTCAACAATCCCCAATTACTTTATATCTACACGTCAACCATGACTAAAACAAAAGAAGAGGGTCGGCTTGTAATTCGTGATGCTACAGTCAGAAATAAAGCCCAATTAAGATTATGTTGGAGATTCCTAACATCTGACAATTCACTATGGTTCTCACTGTTACATTCTAAATATTTGCCTAATGGAAAACCATTCTGGAACGTATCTTCAACCGATAGCTCTAGTTGTTGGGTTAATATGCTCAAATGTAGAAATGTTCTCGGATCCGAGTCCAGCTTCTGTCAGGGCAAAGCCCGTTCCAACAGCCTTTACAGCGCCTTGTGTTGGGAATATCTCCGTAGTTATGTGATTTATTTCATGGGAGATATTCCTAATGCAAGGTTGCAAGGGGCTGCTCAAAGGGTGCAAGCACTGACTTGCCCTGATAGAAGCCGAATTCCTCGAATCTGGCCTCTTGGCTTGTAGGGATAGGATGGAACATTGATTTGCTCAACGACCCTTGGATTCTTCAATTCATAGTTCTTTGGAGGATGGAAGCATTCCATAACAAGCCTTCTTATCAGGTGGGGCAGTTTATTGATGTTGATACTAGATCATAGAGAGTTAATGGTTTGCAACAGATTTTTACTGAGGATCAGGTACGATCCATACTTGATATTCGCATTCCATTACACTTATTGACTGCAACAGATCACTTAATCTGGATACACAGCCCTCAGAGGATTTTGACAATGTCAGGAGCCTATCGATTTTTAAGAAATAGAGAAGTCCAACCCTCCACCATATCACTGGCATTTGGGAACGTGTCTTGGAAAACTTTTTGTCTCGTTTGCTTTTCGGTAAGTTATTTATTTGGGTAAATGCAGTTACTTGAGTAAGTTTTTCTTGGGAAACACTTACCCGTGTAAGTGCATTTACCCATGTTCTTTTATTTATCATGTAAATAAGGCAATGACCAATTTAGCCATAAAAATTCATTATTAAAATGGGCATTTTTGTCCCATTCAAGTGTTGGCAACTTTTCCCCTAACTGGGAAAGTTATTTACCCACCTAGGAGGTGGGTATCACTTAAGTGGTATCCGGGAAAATTAACTTTCCCCGGTCCCTACAAAAATCTGAAAAAAGAACATGTGATTCTTGGTCAATGGAAACCAAAATCCCATTGACCAACTTTCCCCCCTCTCAAAATCCGAAAAAAGAACACCCCCTTGGTGTGTGAAACATATTCCTCCAAGAGAGCATGCCTTCCTCTCGAGATGCATTCAATAAGCCATTCCAGTAAAAGCAGAGTTATCACGACGATCCAATAAAATTGATGATATCTACCCACGATGCCTACAATCCTCTGAAACAATTGATCACCTCCTTTTTATTTCTCGTCCACATTCTAGAGCGGTTTGGTTTGGTTGCTCTTTCAGCCTATGGCTCGATGCAATGGGTGATTGCTCATTGAAGATCAATGCAAAATAGTTTATTTGAAGTGTAAAGTTGTTGACTCACAATATCATATGGAAGAGAATCATAGGCACGTCCCAACACATACAGTAGTGTAGGCTAACAACATTACCAATGTTTGGTCCAGGCTTCTAGCTAACCAATTAAAGGTGAATATTGACGGTGCCACCTCTAGCTCGAATGTTGGAGTTGGCATTTGATTCATAACCATTACAGTTTGCTTTTATTTTGTAGAGCAAAAAAGTTTGTTCATTGCTCTTCTTTGGAAGCTGAAGCCTTGACTGTCCTAGATAGTATCAAATTTTCTCTAGAGCTTTGGCTTTCGAATGTAGTTTTTGAGGGAGATTCCTTAACCATCATACAAGTTCTTTCGAATGAGAGTTACATTCCTCATTGGCAAGTCCGTTCGATTGTGGCCGATTGCAGAGCTTTCTGCTCTATGTTCCGTTAGTTCTAATTTGTGTTTACCCCTAGATCAGAAAACAAGGCTGCACACAGGATCGCTTGTCATGCTCTTGCTATCTTCTCAACGTACACTTGGTCTACAACTCTTCCTTTCATGAGGGATTGTATTGTTGATGATATTTCTTTGAGCACCTAAAGAATTCACTCTTATCGGACTTTAAAAAAGTGGTTGGAAAACATCTTATTTTCCATAAATCCTCTACCCTCAACATAGTTATAACAAATTGGAAATTAGAGAACCAATATGCTCTAGGTTCAAAATTGAGCTATTCACGCTGGTGGTACTTTGAACTTTGGGCTAGATGGGTTGGGTTCAGACTTGGCTACTCAATTGTATAGCTCCAATTAAGGCCAGGGGCGGAGCCAATATGGGTGGGGTCCGTCCCACAAAACCATCATTTATATAGCCAATAAACCAGAAGTGGAGGCAGAGCCGAAAATGTAATAAAGTAGGGCTGTTCATGGGTCGGGTTACTGGCGTTTTTCCAACTGACCCGACTTGGTCAGTTTACCTAGAAATGAAATCGAAACCGACCCAGTATTAAATAAAACTGATCTGATTGGTTTGAATCAGTTTAGATTGGTTTTGTGAATGATTCTCTCGGTGTGAATGGTAATAGATTCAAGTCTAAGAAAGCAAAGTCTAGATGCTTGGAAATTAAAAATGATTTGATGGATTAAAACTGATATTTTATATATCAGAAATTTTATATATAATATATATATTTCTGAAATAAAGCTGAAATATATATTAAAACTGAAATATATATAATATATATCTAAGTCGGTTCGGTTTCGATTTTCACACATGAAAACCGAAATTGAACCAAACCATCGGTTTATATTTTTTTGTAACCCGAAACCGACCGGTGCTAAAGCAAAACCGGCCAACTCAGGTTAGATCAGACCGGGTTGGTCGGTTTGATCGATTTGGGTCTTGTTATGAACAGCCCTATAATAAAGTGGGTCCTTCCCTCCAGCCCCACCAAAATGTTAAGGAACCTCCTCCAATTCCCAAAATAAAAAAATAAAAAAAAGATTGCTTTAGAAAAAGTTGTAATAGACTCAAGCTTTTTTTTTTATAAAACTAAATATTACCATTCCAGCAAAGAAAAGAGGGAGGATTATCAAAATACTCCACCTCTCTCCCCACTTTGGGCCCTCTTAGTCGTTTCATGGGCCAATAAGTTCCTACTAGGAATATAAACAAAAAACACCCCAATCTTAGCAAAACAAAATAAAATGTGATCCACCACATGCCACATACATTACAAGAAAAACGATCTAAGGCGACAGTCACAAAGACCGCCGCCAATAAAGAGAATTAAGGTTTCGGTTTAAAAGAGACCGCCACCCGGAAGACAAAGTGGGCATCTAAAGGCCCTAAGGCGGCAGTTCATAGATTTGAACCGGAGTGAAGCCATTTTAAAATTCATTTTAAGGATTGGCACCCAAAACCATCAACCATCACGTGCGAAAGCCAAATTTCCTCGGTTAAGGGTTTCTGCTCCAAGCCTTCTGTTGGGGGGTGATCATGGGCCGGGTCGGGTTTGATTTCGGGTCAATGTCACTCATATATAAAACATTACATATCTATATATTAAATGACATAACATGCATATAATTTATACATGTCATGTTATAATATTTTTATATAAAATATGTAATATAATGTAAAATAACATATATATGTATACATTATACACAAAATGTATAAATTTAAATATATGCAGTTCGGGCTTGAAGTATTAAGCCCAAGCCCGGCCCTAAAATTTACAGGCCTGATGTGAGCCCAAGCCTGAATACAAAACCCAAGCCCAAACCTGAAATTTCCAGACCGGGGGGCTGAAATGATCACCCCTAGTTTCTACTCATTTCAAAAGAGAGTGAAAAGGATAAGAGGGAGCCGCAACTCCAACATCGTCAACATCGTCACCATGGGTCATATGCACGGCCGTGGTAAGGGTATATTCTTCATCGGTTCTGCCGTACAAGAGAACTCCACCCTCTTGGTTGAAGATCTCCACTCAGGATGTTGAGGAGAACATCTGCACGTTCGTGAAGAAGGGTTTGACTCCTCAAATCGGTGTCATTCTTCATGATTCTCACTGTATTGCTCATAGGCTTGCCTCTAAAACCCTGAGGATTTGGCTTTGGTTTCTATTCTTTTTCTTTTATCTTGGGATATTTCCTCCTCTTTACTGTTTCTCCCTCCAATTGGGTTTTATTGCAAAAGCTGAGTATTGTTAGTAACCTGTGAAAGTTTGGGCTATGG